GGTAGGGATGGCAATGGGGGTTAATGGGGTGGATATTAATTCTCCATCCCCATTCCCCTATAATAGAGTTAATTTGTATGTTAGTTTTATTACAGGTATTTTTTTATTAATTGAATGAGAAACTAAATTCAATATTTTTTACAGGTATTCTTTTTAATTTAATCAAATAAAATTAGCATAATATCCCCAAAAAAAAAAAAAAAAAAGGAAGATATGACGGCGTTTCTACAAACGCCTCCTAATCCCTCAACAGTAACGGTAATATTTTTAAAACAGATACGACGGCGTTTCAAAAACGTCGCTAAATATTGTTGGTGACGTCAGCGTGTGTGTGGTGGGACATTTGGCGGCGTTTTAAAAAACGCCGCCTGTACTAATATCACGACGTTTTTAAAACGTCGCAAAGCTACAGCGACGGCCGCAGCTTCGACGTTTGGTACTAAACGCCACAAAAGGAATTAGGGGCGTTTTTGATACATATGGCGGCGTTTTTTAAACGCCGCTAAAAGTGCGATTTCCAGCAGTGACACCACCACCTAGGCATCTTGACAGCGGCTGCAGCAAAGAAGCAGTAGATGGAAGGTGGTTTTGGAGGCAAGCTTCTTGAAGCATGCATAGATCCGGCGCTTAATGGTCCCTCTAAGTGGGGTCACGAAGGGTTTGCATCATGATGGTGTCACCTTTTCAAAACTTTTCTTGGTTTCCTCCATTTTCATCCTATCCTTCCTATGCTGAATTATGGTGATTTTGTGGAGAGGGAGAGAGAGCGAGAGAGGGATTATATACGGCAGGAGAGCACAACAAAATGCATTTTTATAGATAGAGAAAGTGACAGAGATGCATGTGTTGAAAGCAACATCGTCCCGAACAAAACATTTTGTTCAAAAAGTGATTATAAATTGTCAAATAATTTTTTTTTAAAAATAATTAAAAAAAATAATTTTCAAATTAATCTTAAGTTGAATAATTTATTTTATAGGTTTAATTTTGATAATTTAAATCATTTATTTTATGGCGTCTCTGTGTATATTATTCACATAAAAAATTAAGTTAAGTCGATAATAATAATTTATTTAATTTTTTATGTTTGTCACAAAAAAATAAATAGTTCTATTTTTAAAAGTCATTCTTTTTTTTTAGATATAAATATGATAAATTAAATTAACTTAATTTTTTTAAAAAAATAAATAGCCTATTTTTTATTTATTTATTTATTTTTTTAGTATTTATTGTAATAATTCTTGTGTAGAGGTTATGTCTTTCCTTTGTGACAGTTTTTTCTCTCCTATATGGAGATTATGATTCTTTCTCTTATAGAAGTTTGTTATCTCTTTACGTGATCTTTTGTTATCATTGTATTAGATTGATCTAATTTTATTTATTTATTTTGCAATAAAAATTTTTTTTCTCAATAAAAAAATAAAAATTGATAAAATAAATTATTTAAATTATGTAAAAAAATCGATAAAATAAATGATGAAGTGAAGGGGGGCGTCTGCGCTATATGGGCGTGGCTTCTTGTGTGATAGCGACAGACCGCTAAGGTTCAATCATTCATTGGTCTACTGCACATCATATTTTATTTTAGGACAAATTACATGTACCTTTCTCGAGATTTAGTTAAATTACAAATATTTCTTGAAGTTTGAGAAATTATAGATACCCCGTTAAGGTTTATATTTTCATAACAAATTGCCCCATAATTTGTTATGCAAATATAACCTTCAGGGGGTATCTGTAATTTCTCAAACCTCAAGAGTATCTATAATTTAACTAAATCTCAAGGGGATATATGTAATTTGCCCTTTATTTTAATACACATTTTTAAAAAAAATATATATATATAGATAGATAAAGGCCAAAACGAAGAAATTACATAGAAAGACTAGATCAACCACAAGTTGCACAAGGGAAGAGGAACTTTCTCCATCCAAACAACAAACCCATCAAGATCAACCGCCATCTTTGCAAGACAATGAGCACCGAATTATCTTGACGCTTGACATGCTCGCATAAGGGACAAAAGAACTTCCTCCATCCAAACCACAACCTTATCAAGATCAACCGCCATCTTTACAAGACAATGAACACCGAATTACCTTGGTGCTTGACATACTCCACTAGCTGACCAACCACCATCCTTGCAAGACAATACACATTGTAAGTAGGTTTAGGGGAAATGTTATGATGTGTACTCTACTATAAAATATGTAATTTTATTACAAAATTTTGTAATATTAATCACAAAATACATAATCTTGTCATAAATTGAGATAATAAAAATTATTCGTATTTTTTCCCCAAAAACAGAAAACTAAATTATATAAAATAAAATCGTGAAGATAGAACAATCTTATTTTGAATTCTTAAAAAAAACAAACACAAGACTGGAAATAGATTACAACATTAGAACATATTATAAGATAGATTTATATGGACATATAAAAATAATATAGAAGTATAAATTAAATATAAAAATTTGAAGAATAAAAGATAAGAGATGCAAATTGAAACCTGTGGTATACATAGTTGTCTAAAAACAGATTCATCACCTCACGAAGAAGATAAAAAAAAAAAAAAAATGGGTGTAAAAACCATCTTTGACTTTATTATTTCAAAACACCATCTCTATTTTCTATCTCAAAAAACCTTTCAAAAACATCCTACTAAGTTGGAGAGGGAAGGCTTCTATTTATACAAGTAAGAAAGTCTCTAACCATGAAGACTATTAGAGTTAGAGTTACAAAGGTTAAAAACTCATGGCCACTAATATGGTTATCAACTCCATCATCCAAAGATGAAAGTTACAATAGTCTAAACCTCTCGTGTGCTTAATATATATAAATAAATATGTATATAATAATATTTGAATAATTCAAACAAATGGTCACAAAATGGATACGGATGTTGGGTTACAATCCGATCCAAACTCAATCTTAAACACATGCACAACCTAAGTCCAACATAGCATAGTTCAGCTCAACCTCAAGTCTAGGTTCAGATCTAGGTCTAAGTCCAAGGCCAAACCCAGCATATGCATAAATACAAGCACATGCTTAGGTCCAGTCCAAACTAAGACTAAGTCAAAATCTAAGCCCAAGCCCAATTTCTATTAATGTCCACTTTATGAGACAATTTCTCATTCACAACTCAATAGTTTCGACTCATTATTTTTAAATTGTAATCTTCTCACATAAAAAAATACAACCCCACTTGGATCCACCTCAATTGGAGGTTGGATACCACTTTACTCTCGAATTAAAGTTGCCGAAAAATCATTATTTTTCAACAATTCCCACATGAATAAAATTGGCTATGTTATGTTTTATTCTTGGCAATCCCGTTTGACAAAACTCCTTTCAGTTGTATTTATTTTCGCACTTTTATTTCAGTGAGGCTATGAGTGTTTAGATGCGAATCCAACCCGAATTGTGCCTTCCAGAGAAGTTTGTGATGATAATGCTTTCAAGATTGCCACTTCGCAGATTATGACGGGGATCGAGCTGCCCGGTCAGCTCGCGGGGGTCCAGGGGGCAGCCCCCCTTGGCGGGTCCGGGGCAGCGCCACGGCGGGGTCGAGGGGCAGCACCCCCGAAGCAAAATGCAAAATTGCATTTCA